GTGTCCGTCATGTTCCTACAGTAGGAGTACATCAGAGTCCCTGTGTCCGTCATGTTCCTACAGTAGGAGTACATCAGAGTCCCTGTGTCCGTCATGTTCCCACAGTAGGAGTACATCAGAGTCCCTGTGTCCGTCATGTTCCTACAGTAGGAGTACATCAGAGTCCCTGTGTCCGTCATGTTCCTACAGTAGGAGTACATCAGAGTCCCTGTGTCCGTCATGTTCCTACAGTAGGAGTACATCAGAGTCCCTGTGTCCGTCATGTTCCTACAGTAGGAGTACATCAGAGTCCCTGTGTCCGTCATGTTCCCACAGTAGGAGTACATCAGAGTCCCTGTGTCCGTCATGTTCCTACAGTAGGAGTACATCAGAGTCCCTGTGTCCGTCATGTTTTGTTTTTTCTTCCCTGTGATCTTTCTTTTACACTTTTAACGTCACCTATAATTAATACGTATTTTCTCCCTCAACGTACAGTCAGGAATGTGTGGGCTGGTATTAGCTGCCATTGGGTGGAAGAAGCAGACGATGAAACGCGGGCAAGTTGTCCTCATCGCTACTCTTAGTGTCCTTGTTGCCAACGTCGCAAACCTCGTCATTCTACAGGTGAGAATATCTTCCTGTGACTGTGAGAGACTATCCCTGTAAGCGGAGGTAGTGCTCTTTTGTGTATTCGTTAAAGGTTGCAAGATCTTCACTCCATTTATGATTAACTCTGCATATATCCCTCAACTATGAATGATTGTATCAAAGGAAAAATGAAAATAAGTATAAAACAAACATGTATTAACAATGATAACGCAATAATAGTGGCAGCGTATAAAGGAGACCATAACAAAATATGAATCATGGCTGGTAGAGGTGGGGCCTGATGTCACTTGGCGACTCGGGCCAAATGGAGGCAGCATCCATTATTATTATTAATATTGTTGTTGTTCGTAAAAGAGAAATACTTCGAACCACGTACAAATTGACATTAAAATTACTTATGACGAAATAGTGTTAACAATGTATCTCCCTCATCACAGGTTGGAGAAAACGGGGTATTCCTGACGAATGATGATGTGCAGACCATCATGAAGCATAACCAAGAAAATTACCTCAGGATAGGTGAGTGTGTGTGTGTGTGTGTGTGTGTGTGTGTGTCTGTGTGTGTGTGTGTGTGTGTGTGTGTGTTTATGTTTTTGTATAAGAATTCTATTTAATTTCTTTCTAAGCGACTTTAATTCATTGCCAACTAAGCTGTAGTTGAAACCATAGGAGAAGCCGGTGTTATTATTTCTAATTGTTTTTCTTTTCCGCAGCACTTTGGCTGACAACGGCGGTGACAGCCTTGGTCATCGTCGTTAGCTTCATTGGGGCACAGTATCTCTTCTGCGTGGTTGTGCGTGGCCCCAAGGTTAAAGGTCGCATGCCAATCACGAGGTCGTTATCTGAAGAAGATCTACATCACCGTCAGGTAGAGACCACCAGATTCCAGTCACCGTGCTTGACCTCCATCAGTACTGTAGCTTGTGACGACTTGACTCTTAGAACTGTAAATGGCAGTAGTGGTCCCGGTGTCGTTGGTGGTGATGGTGAGAATATTATGCATGGCTTCCCTGGTGATGGTAGTTGTAGAAGTAGTAGTAATGGTGTTTGTGTGGTAAATGGTGGCGGTGGTGAAACTGTCAACAACCAGGAGCCTACGCAAAATAAGAATGCTAAATATACGAGGCCACAGGACCCGAAAACACCAGAAAATAGCGTGCCTTATTTCTTGAGGAACCACCGCTCAGCTTGGCAATTCATCCTGCCAGAAGTTGTGAAAGAATTGAGAGAAAGCAACCGATTCAGTGAAACGTTCAACGATGTTCAATCCCGCACCTCAACACTGTCAAGAGTGTCCAAGTCCTCGTTTCAGCCGTTCAGAACTGATAACATCCAGACGGAATTGGAACAATCCAATGTACTGAGAGCTGAACACCAACTTAATGGGCTACACAGAATTTCTAGAGCTCCTTCAAGTTGTAACACCTCAATGTACTCTCTGCCAGAGAGTTGCCGTCAGAACAGTACCAGTCCTCGTCCTGGTGGCCGCGTGAGGCGCCCTTCTGTACCTCCTCCTTCACCTCCGCCCACTGGTTCCTCAGCCAACCTGCGGTCTTTGACCACTGGTGGCTGGGAGTCCTGTGCCATTATACAGTACCCTCAGCAAGCAGGAGGTGGTTTCGTCGTTGACTTAGACTGAGGATAAACGTAAAAAAAGTAGCTCCCATCAAAAGTATTGACTCTGCTCTGATATTTGCAATAATACTTAACATCAGTGTGATAAAGAAATAATTTTCCTCTTTATAAACAAATCTTCTATCTTAACACAATAGATAATGTGTGGGTGGCAACTTGGACTTGATACAAACATTTAATAATGTGATAAGTCCCGTGTCACTGAGAGCTGTTCACGGGAAGTACACTTGTACCATGGTTCATCTGTGTACGAGGCTCTTAATATAGCAGAAGCTACAGCATTAGATTGTGACACAGCTTGAGGTTGTATCTCAGCTTGAAGTTGTGACACAGCTTGAGGTTGTATCTCAGCTTGAAGTTGTGACACAGCTTGAGGTTGTATCTCAGCTTGAGGTTGTGAAAGCTTGAGGTTGTATCTCAGCTTGAGGTTGTGATATAACCTGAGGTTGTATCTCAGCTTAACTGAGCTCTGACTATGCCTTAACCCACCATTACACAACATCTGGACCTGAAGTTATGGTCTGCAGTGGACTTTAACATAATAGTTGTGACAGTCTGCGTTGTCACATTGTCTGAAGATGCGACAAAGATTGAGATTGTGATAAGGCCTAAGGTTGTAACCCTACCCATAGTTGTGATAGAGCTAAGTTTGTGACGGGGGGTTGAGATTGTAACATTACCTGAGGTTGGGACATAACTTGAGGTTGTAACACTGATTCTGGCTGTGGCACAGCCTGAAAGTTGTGTTTGGGTGCTGGATGTTGTTATCAAAGGAAATGTGTGACGCGGAGTAGTGGCGACATAGCGAGCCTTCCCCGAAGACCTGATAACCTCACATCCTTTGTGTGGGGGGCAGCTTATGCCTTGTCTACCCTACCTCAAGCACACCATGGCTTTTAATATAATCATAAAATATTTGTAGATACATACTGTATATAAATCTTTCCTTACCCTGTATAAGAGAGAAAGTTTAGAATTACAGAGATAAATAAACGCTCAATAATGACTAGTTTAGTTAAGAAAAACTCCCTAGAGCGGTGAACAGTGTATAAATCCTAACAGTCAAGGCACAGACACAGAGGCGACATTAAAACTGCTGCTCTTTTATAAACACATTATACTGTATAAAATGTTAGTTATTTCCTCGAGTCTTTCCCCTGAGGATTACCAAACACTGCTCAGCACTTCGGGGAGCAGGTTTGCCTTAATCTGATACAGGCTACTGTTGGACACTGGCGAAATTCATGATGGATAGTATCTATTTAACCATTATTTTAGTGGTAATTTCCTTAACTAGGATCTAAATTATTATATTTTCAATTTATGCATTACAATGAGAATAGTTAATATATACTTTACATATACTGTAGAATAAACAAAATTTCTTCCACCTAAATTTTACTTGTCTAGTTTGCTTATACGTTATGCATTATACCCCAAAAATTTCCATTCAACTATACATTATATATATTGTGCTGTGTCCTTTCTGATCTACCATGTATATTCTTCACCTAAAACTGAACAATGTAGATCAAGCCTAACACTATATTTGTAAGTGTGACCTTCCTTCTAGCTCACATAACATACGTGTTGTTGGTATTAATAAAGAAAGTAAGTTAGGCTTTGTCCTCCCACAGGTTTATGATGTCAGAACTGTAAACATAAACGTAACAAAAATATAGGGTTTAATATCCTTGCTAGATTCTAGAAAACACACACACACACACACACACACACACACACACACACACACACACACACACACACACACACACACACACACACCTAACCTACCCTAATCGACTTTAGGTATAATTTTGCAATATTATGATAGTAAACGACGACTAAAATGAAACAACAAATTCTACTATGTACAGTATGGATTCATTTCCACTGAATTTTAGAAATACAAACAGAAAGTTCTCTTTATTCGGGAAAAACTTCAGTTGCTTTTCAAGGCTTAATTAGCGATTATCTCGAGTTAACGTGACATAATTGTCTCTCGATAACATGCTGCATGTTCTTGTACTCTGCCTGTAAGTAAATGGTTACGAGACATGGCTGTAGTATATTATATTACCACGGTGACGAGTATAGGTGGCCACTACGAGCACTGCATGTCCTCTCCTTGCATGACTGTAAGGCTCTGCACCCTCTTGTTGTAACAGCTGTAAGTATACTTCAGTTTTGTTTTGTTTTTGTAATGTTAATATAATTACTGCTTATAGGGCGGACCAGCATTTTAGCTTAAGTAATATTCCTGCAAATTAAAAAAAAAAAATACTGCCTTTACTTTTAAGTTAGTGGAGTATCTTACTTATATTCTTGTAACCTGAGAGATATATCACCCAGTTATCGAGGCAAAACACGCGTTCGTATAAGGGCAAGTACTGTATCGTCATTATTGGGGGCGTTTATACAAGCTCCCTCTGAATGAAAAGTGAAAAAACGGAAACATTACTTGTGCTTAAACTATACTTATGTGTCCACCAAGTGAGAGACACAGTGCGTTTTATTCTTTTTCCCTCATGCAAACAACAAGTCAATTCCTTTAATTGTGTGTCAGCTAATTTGAACTTGACAAACTTGTACACTGGTCCAATGGGTCCTGACCACTTCCTCTTGTTTTTCAGAATCTGTCTAAGGATTTTAAAGAGTCTAAGTTCAAACACCCCAAATCTTATATGTGGACCAGTTACAAAGAGAATTGGCTTAGGTTCACAGAAACTATATTTACGTGAGATTTGTTCAGTTTTGGTCATACAATAGGGATGAAATATTACCAAATACCTACTTTTAGGGGGTTTATTTTATTTCCTGCTATAAATTAAGCAATAATAATGAGTAACTGAGACTTAATACAGTACAAAGATAACCCGCTGCAGGCCTCAAGCGACCTTGTAAATAGTCATGAAGCTGGGATATTATTTGCTACTGCGGGGATCAATGTTTACCGAAAGTGAATATATTTATATTTTTTTCCAGTACTCTTCTGAAATTAAACCAGCATTTCTATGAATAGTAAGGTTAGGTTAGGTTAGGATTTTCCAGTAGTTCCTAAGCAGTATAGATAAATATTCTTGTTTACTTTGTCTTTCTGATAGTTCTGCACGCGTCAAAAATCGCCAAAACACATACTTTGGGTTTGATCCTTTGTTACTACGCAGTCACTGTATGGTACATGCATTCTCTGTTTCATCTCCCAAGCTGCAGCATTAATAAACTTTGATTTAGTGTCTTTTTAACACTTTAATGTCGGCCAAAGTGCACTCCATATAATCAATATTTTTTCTTAACGCATTACAGTCCAAGTAAAGTCAAGCTGAACTGAATGATGGACACCCGGTACATTCACTGGAGAATTAATTATTATGATTATCTAATTATTCTTAAAAAAATATACGTAGTTTCTTAAGATATTTATTTCTAAAAACAGGAATATACATTGACTATTTAATAAACAGGTTTTATATGATATTAAACACAAGCCACATAGGATACTCATAGGACGGAAAAGGACAATTTGTGATTGTCCTTGGAATGTGGTGTTCTTTGTGACGTTCTACAGGGCTTCCCGTGAGGGCTAAATGCTCTTCATAGTGTGTCTCATCAGCTGAGGTAGTAATGTTATGTCTATTTTTAATGTCTGATTCTTATTAGTGTTATTTGTCACCTCGTCACCCGGATACATTGTAGTAGATGATATTTAGTCCAGTACAGATTAACACAAAAATGGCCAAACCCGGACATTTGGTATAACAAGCAAATTTTTGTGCCAAGTCCTTCATATTAATGTCTTGATATTGCAACCCCCAATCAAACTGTGTTTTGACCATTTAAACTCGGGGTCTGGAGATGAGGGTAAATTGCCATTTCACAGGTGTAGATGGGATATCATGTTAATAAGGGTCTAAAAAATTACGTAATTAAAAATATCTAGGTTGTTAACATTGCAGAATAATGCACAGATAAGCTTTGCAGTATAGTGAACTGAAAATAACATTAACTCAAAAAATATATAGGAAAATCGGACATGTTAAGTATTTTGTATATTTTTAACAGTATATTTTTTAACTAAGTACCTCTATGAAGACAGTATGTAGGTAACATTCATGAGCATAATCTTGGATGGGTCAGTGACTAAGTACCGAGCCAGTTGCAAGCCGCTTACATCACTGCAAAGATGACAACTAGTAGGTCTCTGGCTCGCCCCATGCAGTCCCTCTCTTTCAG